AGTTTGTTATGTTTGTTGAATGTTATCGCTGCAAGATCAGATTGAATATATTTTTTTGAGACCAGATTAAATAGAAGAGGTGACCTAAAAATTCAAAAACCGTTTAGAGCTATTTGGTTTAGCTTTAAACTCTTGGCGCACCAAAAAAGGTATTTTGTCCACCTTCGGGTATAACGAACTTTGTGCGAAATTTGGTATTTTCTCATTTGCCCCCCTATAGAACATTTAGGGACTCAATAACGTTTCAAACAGAAAACAAATCGCTGCAAGCAATTACAAGTTATCCACTGTGTAACGTTATTTTGACCGAATTAATTCAATATTTTTTTGTTGCTTAGTATTCAGTGTACAATTATAATTAATTCTTCTGCTTCCCTTAATTTAAATTTTCTCCTTCTGTTTTGTAACTTAATGTTTTTCACTCTGAACCCAAAATTTAAGCAAAAACTTTTTTTTTTGGCGTGCTTGGGGAGTAATAAACAAACAGGTAACGCGTCAATTATAATCTCAATAATTACTATTCTTGGTTAATAGTCCTGATCTTTGGTTTTGATCAATATTCCATTGAGATACTTTTGGTACCGGTAAACATTTCAGTGAAAAAAATAGAGCAAAACTTTGTAGAGCAATTGCCATACGGATAATAAAGTTTTGCTTCAATGGATATTGAATGATTGTATTTTAAGATTAAAAACTTCACTTTCAACTTGAATAAATAGAAGAAAAAATGTTGGTACCGGTAAACTATTTTAAACATGAAATACTTATGACTTTTGTTGATGTTATAACTTGAAATATTTTATTCTGTAAATTATCGTTGGATCTTCTGCTCGCACTCTTTTGGTACTAATGGCAGAATTTTATTTTTGAACATTATATGGAAGAACTGGATGTCCCATATAATTTTAAGAGTTTTTAAAAATGTTTTAATTTTTCAAAACCAGTGTTGCATCAAATTGGCACAAGTCAAACATAATATTCAAATTTTTCTTGATTTTACTACTTCACTAGCAAAAATATTGGCTATTTGAGTTCCATTTTTAGGGGTCTAAACCTGTGCTTGGACATTAAGCAACGATTTGAAAAAATCCGAGCTTCAGTACTAACAGACGGGCGGTCGTAGCAATAAATACTGTCCCCACATCTTGTTCGTTTTTGTGATTATACCACCCAGACGACACTTAAACCCCATTTATCTTCTAATCAATCAAGTCCGCGATGCCATCCGTGCACTAAGGCCGAAATTCGCCTGCTTTCAATTCAGAGAAATGTACAGCGATCCTGAATTGACCTGCTAGCGATTCGGACCCTTATTGCCGAGCCAGCCTTATCGCTGGGAGATCGCTATCCAATTAAATCTGACAATGGGTTTACTTCAGTGACACAAGTTTTAGAGCGCATTCGAACTCCGGAGAATGGAAGTGGACTGATAAATGTTTAGCGGACAAAGACGTGGTTATTTCAGATGTGGATAACGATTTTTAATCGGGTTCTGGTTGTAGTACTACCAGAAACGAGAGCTGAATTGATAATTCTCTAATGAGGGGAGTTTGCGGGAGATGTTGGAGCTGTTGCGTCTGGGCCAGAGGTTAATGAAGTTGTTTCTGTTGTTTTCAGAGTTTACAAAGTGCAGCCAGGAGGGCAGGAACGAGTTGTGCGAACTGCAAAACGACGACAACGACGCTCTGGCGACGGAATCAAAATGGGGAACCAGTGTGCAATGCCTGCGGACTTTACTACAAACTACACAATGTAAGTGGTTTCTCTGTATGGATCTAGTGTGTTGTTAAAAATGGTCTATTTAACCATGGCGGTTTTACTGATCGTTGTGTTGATTGCTCTTTCAACTCCTTGCCAGCTCATTTCGTCGCAACTATTTTAAAATTTAATTTTGACGTTTTTTCACTTACTTTTGGGTTTATTTTAAGAGTCATTAATTAATAATATTTTCAAAATGTCTTCAAAATCTTCCAGTTTTAGCCAAGTTACTCTTTCTTCTAAATGCTCAATTTTCTATAGTTTCACTTTACAAAATGCTGACAAACTTACGGTATTTTCCGTGAAAAGTTATGAAATGAATTTCGAATTCTTCTTCGCTTTGCAAAAAGGTTTGAAATCCCTTTCCAGCATCGAATTTGGAACAAAAATCAAATAATTTTCTTTCAAAAAACGAACGGAATAAGCGAAAGTTTATAACAGATTATTTAGAAATTTCGTCACCACCATTCCTCTGAAGACTGCAGAGTTTGTTCAAAAAATGTGGTTTTTAGTTTTGACTGATTTTTTTTGATTTACTTTCTACAAAAAAACGCTGTATTTTGTAGAGTTTCACTTTAAAATACTGACGATCTGGAGGTCCTTTACGCGAAAAATGACAAGGTAAATTTATAGGTTCGCAAAAATTTGACTAAAACTTTTTTCAGAATGGAATTCGAAACGAAAATGAAAATAAATTCCTCCCGTTTTTCCCCGAAAACCATTAAGGTTTTCTCCAAAACCGATCACGAAAATAAAAGTTGTGCAAAATAAAATTTCGCCTCGAATATGGCACAAAAACCAAATAATTTTTTTAGTTTTTTACCTAAAGTATTTAAGATTATCTTGAAAAAACGACAAAAGAGCAAAAGTTTACAAAAAATTATCTGTAAAATTCGTTGCCCTCATCGCTCTGAAGATTTTTAAAGCTCTTTGAAATTTTCAGGTTATTCTAGTTTTGAAAAAGTTTCTATTAAGCAATTCCTTCTACGCAAAAATCGCATTATTTTGTATTTAAAATACCGACGACCTTCAGTTATTTTCTGTGAAAAACTATAAGTTAAACACTCGCCTCTTTAACCGCTTTGCAAACATTTTTGGAAAACTTTTTGCAGCTTTGAATTATGGGCCAAGCCCTAATAATGAATTCTGGGTCTTTTTTTTCACCGAACTGAAAAAGCGAAAGTTTATAATCATTTATTTGGAAAACTTTTGGAAACTGGGGTGTCTTCACTTTTAGGTCAATATTTCGAAACAACACTGTCTCTAAACAGAAAACCGCGTTTTTCCTAACGTTTTACTGTAAAATACTGGCAAACTGAATCTTTTATGAAAAAAAAATTAAGAGAGATTTTACAAGAAAACTCGTCGACTTTCTATGAACTCAGTTCTGTTGCTAGGAAAATATAGATTACTTTTTTCAGTTGTTTCAACAAAGTAGTAAAATATTTTTAGATGTGAAAATTCGAGTCTCGTAAAGCTTCAACAAATCATTTATAACTAATTAACCGATGAGTTATAACTCGAGAACTCAAAGAGCGGCAACAACTCAATAGCGCAACTCAGCACACTGTTACCCAAGTCTAGCACCAGTTTCTGAGAAATCACTAAAATCGTTTAATAGATCTGAAAAGTTACCAGAGAATATACAATTGAAGTACACAGAAAAGACGGAATAAAAATTTTACACAGAAAAAACGGGGTTCATTCACACTCTTTCGAGAATGAAAAAAGATCGTCGAGTTTTGATTTTTAAGTTGTTTGATGGTTCAATCTCTAGAATTTAATTAAGCATTTTACTTTTATTTTATTTCATTTCTATCACACTTTTGCATTCCCAATAGAACCTTGCAGTCTTGTTTTTGATTAATATCACATTATTATAGCCACAGGGTGTTGGGAAAAATGTACGCAGTCCGTGTTGGACGTTATACAACGTGATGACATTTGATCTCCACACAGAGGAGACGTGGTTTGCATTGTTTTATTTTACGTTTCCTCATTTATTGTGTCTTTGACTATGTAGTTTTCCTTTTTAGAGACACTGGTATGTCTGCAATGATAAAAATAGAATTGAAAAAATCCCTCATTTAATAATAATTGTTTCCATTTTTCACATTTTTCGAACAAATATGAGACAGGAAGTAATTCACTACAAATTCGTTAGAAAAACATGATTTTCTTACAAATTAAACAGTAGAACCAAGAGACCAACAGGTGCGATGGCCGCTTAAGATCGTTCTAAAAGCAAAGCATTTAGTGCAAGAGTAAACTCACTTCAGATCAGATTGTGTTTAGGTAAACTGTTCCAATACGCATAATGCTAAATATGTCCGTTTTATGGTCGTTTCTAAAAAGCTGTTTGTTTCATTTCAATCCAAAACAAAATTTGGAATATTTTCATATTATGTGGCGTTGCCAATAGAATATTAATTTATTTAAAATATTCTTTTAATGATACGTTTTTGTTAATGATCATTAAAATGTATTTAGCTTAAGAACTTATAGTGCGTGGTTTCTTTAAAAGCACACTTTTATCAACTTTCCTAAAGTGGACAAGGTGGCCAAGCTCAGAATGTTGAAATGTACGAAGTATCACATTATTTGTTATTTTTCGGATTCAAAAAGATCCATCACTAAACTACTTACGTTCGATTCTACTCATTATTAATTCTGTGTGGCTGTTCGTCTGCAATAATTTCAGGTCTTATGATCAATTAATGCAGTGAGTTCGTATTTTTGAAAATAGAGTTTTACAATTTCTAAATTCAGTAATTGGTTCTTGAGCTTTTACTCATAAATGTGCGTTAAATTGTGTTAATCTTAAATAATATATAAATATTTCTCATACTCTTTAGGATTTTTCCTAAAAGTGGATTTATTTTCGGAATTGCGCGACTTGAAATTTATCTTCTACTTGTTCTACTTGACACCTATATTTCTTTTATTTAAATCTAATTGACGATCCATTTAACGCTACTGAACGCAAATGAGTTCAACTTATTCATCATCAGCAGCWTCCAATATTATGGTTCAATAAAGTGCGTTTTGCGAAAWGAGCATTTTTCATTTTTAAGGCATTTGTGATCTRAAAYCCATTTGTTGAACAGTGGCAGTMCTGTGTCTTTTTACCTTTGTGAAATAACTGATCACATAACTGATTAGAAACAGACAYASATTATAAATCGATTTGCCTCTAGAGAAAGCATATGGGCGTCCTCTTTCAGTATTCGATTGATTTTCCTCACATTACTGGAAATATGTAATACTAAAAACCGGGATTGTTGTTCGGCTAACAACTTTGGCATACAACCGACGAAAATACATCTTTGCCGTTTTCCATAAGTTAATATATATAATAACCGTTAAAGTTGGAAGCTGTTCTCTTCTTAATTTACAGTTCGTGTCAATTTGCTGCGTTTCGAACATATATAAAAATTGCACCGTTCCTTGAAATCGTTCAGAGTCAGATTATTTTATTTCTAAAATAGAAGCAGTGCATTTTACCAGAATTCACTGAGTTCGTCCAGATTAATCACGACTATTTGCAAGTCTATTGAGTCTAAATGGATAATTAACTTTTGACCATTTTAGTTTAAAAAAAGAGTTAAAGTGCAGTTGGTGTCACGCACAGAGAATAATTGCTCTTCTGAGATTCCACAACACCTCTGCACAAATTCCGCGACATCCTGAATTGGATCATGTCTGTACATGCCGCCAAATTGAATTAGTAGTACTTTCATTATGCGACATCAACTAATTACATATGCAGTGCAGTAAAGAGCTGCGGTCAGTGGACCTATGCAATTCTTCATAAACTGTTCGTTTTAATGTTGCCGACATTTTTACCATGTCACGTACTTTACTTCTCGCTATTGTTGCACTGTTGACGTAGGCTGCAGTCGGTGCATTTTTGCAAGTTGCACAAAATTATCCCGCACCAGTAATAAAGACCCTTAAAATTAATTCGATCTACACGCGATTATATTRTACGAGTAGTTTGTTAGCCACGAAATGTCGACATTTTWATAATAAATYGTAAACTACGTCAAAAGTGAATTTTTAGTRTGCATGTATTTTGATTAAGTCTCGAATAAATCGCCCAATGATRTACTGCTGAAAACCCAATAGATTTCTGTTTACTTTCATAACSTGTRCTTACTGTGTWTKTACTTTATKWTTWTTMCAAAATTTTTTAATTCCAACTTATTTTATATCAATCTTTTTGGYTTTTGAGCTTCCAAAAGCTCTATCAACTCACTTAGTTTTAAATAATACASMCKSACAAATAATTTWGTACTTGCAACTCGTAAATAATATTTTTGTTTAAGATTTTCCAATTTAAAATAGTTTTTCCATATSTACCTGTTTATGTCGACGGTCATGCTCTAAATTCCTTAAACTGTYGGTACTRCAGAAGAGAAAAAAATGGTTCTCGTAAAAACCTCATATCCATATTAAAGAAGCACATGCTTCAAAGACGAAGTTGTATATTTTTCGCATCCTTTAAGCCTATGCAAATAAAGCTTTGTCCGTGGCTATCAGACCGCATTAAAAATCCGAATAAAGAGACAGTTGTTCGTATTTAAGAGTTTTCGAGTGAGCCTTTTCAGAGTCCCACATGGGTTGAACATAGCGCAGGCAACCGTTGCGTTATTAGCGGATTATTTAATTGGGCAACACCAAATTAAGGACGTTTCAACACCATRCCTTATTAAAGAATGCAAATTACATAAACGCATTTTTTCCAAAATCTCTTAACGTAAAACGACGTAAAGGCTTTAGGCCWTTACGTCGAAATTCCTTTCAATAGTTRTCYTATTGTCTAATAGAAAAAACGCCATACTGTCTAATAGAAACGTGCAAGGTTATTCTGCAGCATWTTTCAATTATGACTATTCGAACGAACTTCATTTTYGATAGAATCATATTTCTTTTTTCCAAAATAACACATCATGTCTCACATCTGAAATAGTATAATAGATATACAAACAAAT